GGAACTATTGTGAACCCAATGAAGCGCACATTGAGAATCGGACCATAAAATTGTTATCACGTCCTCAAGCTCTTTTTGTTTTAATACGAATTGTACCATTCTCACTCCGATGAGTATTGCCAGTAATTCTAATCGAGGTATTGACATTCCTTTAATTGGCGCAATTCGGGATTTAGCAAACACTAAGAATACTTCTCTTTCTTGAGTTCGAATGTATAAAGCTGCTGAGTATGCAGCAGTTGATGCGTCAGTAAAAACATGAAATTGTACTTGCTTGGAACAATTTGTTGTGAATCTTGGTAGATCCTTTAGTTTCTTTGGCCATTTGTTCGTGAGTAATTTCCACGTGGTTTCATCTTCCTCACTTATAGTTTGATCCCATGAAAGGTTCTTTTTCCACAAAGTTTGGAGAAACAATTTGAATCTTATCAGTATAGGAACTATGAATCCTAGTGGGTCATATTGTGAGGCTACGAATTGCAATATAATTCTTTTAGTTAATTTCTTACCAAACCATGGTTTTAACGTTACTTGAATGATATCTTGTTTGTGGTACCAATTGAGACCTAGAATTTTTTTAATTGAACTTACCTCTGCTCGATCTTGTACCGGAAGTTTTTCATTGACTTCTTGGTCGTTAGAGAGAAATTCCCGTACATTCATTGATGCTTCATTGAATATAATTTTAATTTCCTTATAATTGGAAAGAGCTTCGTTGGTTCCTTTGGTTGGTATTATAATGTTATCGACATAGAGATTTTTCCTTAACTCGAGTGCGATTTTGCTTTTACAAGTTTCCAAATGATAATTGAGTGTAGCGGACAATAAAAATGGAGATGATACAATTCCAAATGGAACTCGTTGGAAACGGTAACAACTTACGTTTTCTTCGTTAACTGGACTTCGAATGTCTTTCAACCAAAGAAATCGAGTGCAGTTTCTATCTGTTGGATGCAATTCTATTTGCAAGAACGCCTTTTCTACGTCTGCTATTATTACATTTTTCATTGTACGGAAACGTAGCAAAACTCCAACCAAATCAGGGAGTGTTATTGGTCCCCGATATAAAACATCATTTAAACTTTTCATTCCTTTACAATGAGCTGATGCATCATAAACTATCCTCAGATTTGTCGTGGTTTTATTTGGTGTTATTACTTCGTGATGAGGCAGATAATGAATAATACCAACTTCATTCATTTCCGATGACACTTTCTCAATTATATTGGAATTGAGTTGTTCTTCAATAGTTTGATTGTATCGACTTAGTAATTGAGGTTTCATTTGAAGCCTCCTAATTAACGACTTTAATCTTCCAAGGCAAAGTCCGAAATTATCGCTTAGTTTGTTCTTTGAATCTTTCCAAGGCCAACAAACTTGATATCTTCCCTTGTCCCTAGTGATAGTTTGTTTAAATTGCTGCAATGCTTTTTCATCATTGTCAGAGTTTATTTTGTCTTGTATACCCATTAATTCCAGTTTCCAAAAGTGATCTAAGTCTGGAATATTGACGGCATTGACTTGAGAAATCGGACTTACTGATGTGGTTTCTGAAATACTGTCGTGTATTTCATTTATATACCCACTTCCAGCTATTATAGGTCCAACCTTTGTATGGATCAATGAAAATCCTGATTTTAAGTTCTCTGCTTGGTCAAACTGGATAAACTTGAAGAAGTGATCCGCACCTATGAGTATGTCCGGTTGTTTCCATTTGTTTTTGAAATTACTAAACTGATTTCGTTTGTCTATCATCAACAATTCCTTTTTGTTTAGATTAACTACTTGCAATTCATTCGTCAAGTGGTTAACTGTTATTACATCTAATCGGATTATTTCTTTATTTCCAATTTTTACTCCGATTTCAGTTTTAGTAGTGATACACGTTTTTGGCGTCTTATCACCAAATGAAGCAATTTTTATTTCCATCTCGTTAGTTTCTTGTAGATTCAATCGATAAGCCAAATCCTTTGATATGAACGATAATTGAGAACCAATATCGAATAGAATTAAAGCCTTTTGTTGGATTTTTGGGCGATTTGGATTGGTTACATTTATTTCCTTACATAACAGTAAGGTTCGCTTTTTCCATTGATTTCCTTTTTCGGTAATGGAGTTAGCGATTGTGACTGAACCCAACCTTTCTTTGTTGGAATCCACTGCTTGCGTGAGTTCCTTGTAGTTGTTGGGACACAGTGCTGTATTGTGTGGACTTTTACAATGGAAACACAAAGGTTTCCCTTTTTACAATCACTTGTTGCATGTCCTTTTCGTAAACATTTGAAACATGCAGTGATTTCTCTCAAACGTTCCATCCGGAGTTTGAGAGTGGGATAGATGTTACATTCATTGTTCCAGTGGTCCTTATTGCAAAATACGCATGGTTTCCTTTTCCCATTTATAGAAATTTTTCCTGGAACCTTTTTTGATTTGATTGTATTATCTCCCTTTGTTTGGTTGATTGTGGCGAAAGCTGACGTTTCGCCTCTAACATTATTTTTGTTTGTTTTCTTCTCCCTTGTGTCTGCTTGACTTCTAGCAACTTCTTCATTTCTTAGAACTAGTTTTGTCAGGTACTGCCGGATATCCTTAACTGACCAACTCGTCGAATCCTCTTTCAATTGGTATAATTTATCAATTATCCACGCTGGTAGTTTATTTTCAATTGTAATTTCGATGCTTGAATGCTCTAAATTTTCACCTATAGCTTCCAGTTGTCGAAATGTTCTCTCCATGGCTTCTATGGTTGCTTTCCACTCTCGGTCATTTTTTTGATGGTATTCAACTCGTTGTAGAGTGATTTCTTTATAAGGAAAGGTTTACCATATTTCTCTTTTAGTAAACCTATTATAACATCGTAGTTTTCTGGCGCTATATCATAACCTCTTACAGATAACAAAGCATCTCCTTTAAGACATGATATCAGATAGTTTAACTTTTGAATATCTGGGATGCTTTGCTCATGGACTGCTGCCTTGAAACTACACCAAAATTGCCTCCACAATTTTGGATCTCCACTAAACGTTATTAGTGGTAATTGAGGAAGTTTTATTTCTGCTTGATTTGTGTGAATCATACTATTCTTTGGAAATGATTCTTTGACCTCTTCTTGTTTTAAATGTTGTAGTACCGAGCAATATTCATCAGTATGTATTTTAAGGGTAATAATAGTTTCTCTTGTTCTAGTGATTAAACTTAAAATACCTTGTGGATCGTCAACCATATTGGCGTATTTCGTCTCCTCTTCCTTTCTCCTCGTTGCTATTGTCAAGCTCTGAATATTATCCAGCCAATTTTGATTAGCTGTTTCGAGTAACCCAGCATAATATTCGAGATGTGCGATCTTCTCCTTGACGATTCGCAATTTAATTTCGTATTGATGCTGAAGTTCCCCTCGTGATAGTGTTTGAGACGGGGAGGTCAGATCGAGTTCACTTGCTTCTTTAAGAAGTTCTAGAGTTCTCGACTTCGATAATTCGCTTCCTTTTCTTATACTGTCGGACATGTCCCGGCTCGTGGCACCAAAATTGTAGTGGAAGCAAAAAAATGTTTTTGGAAACAAACCTTTATGATTTGGTTAAATTGTTATTCGGGGGAAGTTTGATGTCAGGGAGATGTGTTGGATGCCAGCTAAATATTTGGGCAACAATTGAATAAAACTGATTCGGAGGATTGGATGATTTTTTAACTGATCTAATTGACAATAGTATGGTTATAAATCTACATTGATGTTAGACAATGATCCAAACAAAGGAGAGGAGGTGCTTGCATGGGCACCAGTTGCTAATAAAGAGCTTATTAGATAACCGCATGATTATGATAGCTAACAAAGAACAATGTAGATATCCTCATGATTGTAAGGATTGCTAACAAAGAACGATGTAAATTGTTTCAATATGTAGAAGCATAAATTTGGAAACAAAGAGTCCGAAGTATAAGCATTATTTGCGGAAATTACGTAGATATCTTTACTACAATTTGCAACTCATATTTTTAGATCGCGATATTAAAATCCGCGACAGTATATGTGATTTTTTGAATTCTACCAAATAAAGATTATTTGTAAAAGTGGATGACAATGACTAGTTGACAGGTTAATTGGATAAATAAAAATGAAAATGATTTGAATTAAATATTGTTTATGTTTTAAAATCATTACTACTTTTTGTTGACAAGTAAACATACAGCAATCAAATAGATTCCTGATTACTCGCCTCTTTTTTTTAATTAAATTAAAGATGAATTTAATAATCAATTGGTCGAGAACAGAAGATTTATGATAAGGAGTTAATTTACAAATCATTCATATTATTTGTTCTCGATCATTCTGCAATTACTCTATTCAATTTAATAAAATTTATTTAATAAATTTTTACAAAAGAGAAAAAAAGAGAAAATAGGAAACAATGTTGTTTATTTATGTTTTATGGTTTAGTTTATTATTTGCCTATCTTTTCAAATTTGAAGAAAAAAAAAGTTTTGAAAAAAAGTTCAATTCTATGGATTTTTTTGACAAAACAGGATAAAGAGTTTGTAAAACAACAAAAAGTAATGATATAATTTATTTGTGTTAACAACTTAAGTAATGATTAAACTGTTCCTTAATATGTTTGATAATTGATAACTTACATATATTTGATAATTGATATTCATCTAAAACATTATCACTGTCTTATCAGGAATTGATAAGTAGCTAAATTGATGATTGCCATGGAGTAATATTGTGGTTCATTTTTGAGAAAATAAAAAGTTACTTATAATAACAAATATAACCAAACCAAACGAGTATCGTTGAAATTTTAGGAACATATGAGAAGAAATTAATTTATTTATTAATGAATTAGTAAACATTTACAATTAATCCTAAAATGAAATTGATGATATGATAGCATATCAATGACAGCGATTTATTAATTTATTTACAAATTTATTTATTAATGAATTAGTAAACATTTACAATTAACCCTGAAATGAAATTGATATTCTGATATGATAACTTATCAGTGATTGCCATCAGGATTATAACGCATACTACGTACTAAACCATTCCAACGGATACCACGTAAAGTAATACTTTTAAGAAATTGAACTTCTATCGATGAATCAATTCGATCACATAATTCGCAACTTTCCAAGTATAACTCAGTGAGTTTCGGTAATGAAATTAATGCACTGAAATAGATTGTTTATTAATTCAAATTCAAAATTTTCAAAAAAACATTTTTGTTCTGAAAAATAAAAATTTCAAAAACAAAAATAATTCTTACTCTTGTAATACTTATACCTTTTCTAGCATTTTTAATACTACCGCTAAAAAAGAGAGAGAGTTAATCTGAGAGAGATCAAATATTGATTTAACAATATTATAATGACTTTCAAAGAATATATTTTCTTGTCAAACATCTAAAAGTGATACAAACAATTTGATCTGTTTATTTGTTTTTGTTTTTTTCTAAAATTTTGCATATAAAACAAATAAACTTTAAAATAATACCAACAAAATAAAATTCCAATAATAATTTCAGTAGCAGATACGAGTAAAGTTTCTACGGTACTTTTTAAATTTAAAACAGATAAATTAAACGTACGTGTAAAATCGTTTCAACTGATCATTAGTAGCAAATAAAGCATTCCAAATATGTACAAAACGCAATGAACGATGTGTTACCAGAAACCAGATCAGTAATTCCGGATATTTTGCAGTGCTATACCGTACCCCGAGCTGTACATATACAGTAATCAGTACAATCAATGAAATAAGGAATTACCGTAATCTCAATAAATTTGAATAATAAAATGAAATTTATTTCTTGTTCTATCATAAACTCTTCAAAAAAATTAGAAAAAAACCAACATATACATTTTGTTTTTTTTTTTTGCATGTATACCAAATATTATTAATAAAAAAAAAAAATGATAATACGCTAGAATGATCAAAAAACGTGATCACCGTCTATTGATCATTATTTTTATCGGTCACGTAAAACAAGCAACACGTATTCTATCATAGCAGCATATTTTCATTGAAAATTTTCTTTTAATATGATATAAATTTTTCCTCCATGAATTTTTCAAAATTTTTAATCTTTTTTTTTTTTTCATATACATTTCTTTTTTTTTCAATTATCAAAAATATAAAATTAAAATTTTTAAAAATTGTAATAAATTTGACTAATGAATTAAATGAAAATTAAAAGATAGTAAAAAAATTTATTACCACTTACACTTATATGTTTCAATTTGTACAAATAGCAATTAGTTTCACATAATGAATATAATATTCTGGCTAAAGTGTCATATGGACAATTGAGCACAAGCATTTCCAAATGTTGCATAAAACGTATAGGTGGTACTTCTAATCGATATGAACATCCTTATTTAAATAATAATTAATTAATTAATTAATTAAAATAAATTAAAACATAGCATTAAAATTCATACAAACATACATAAATAATTTGTTATTTTTGAAATATTTTTTGAAAAAAAAACATAAAATTTTATCATTTTTTTTTTTAAAGAAATTCTATTATTTACTTCAAAATATTAAATTACATTTAGTAATTAATGAAAATTTTTTTTAGAATATTTTTTTATTTTTCATATACCTAAGCATAATATGAAATTTAAAAAAGAAAAGTGAAAATTTTTACCAAATTTTTACCTTTGCCAATAGTTTTTTGAGACATAAATCCGTCCATAATCAATATTTTCAATTGTCGAAAATATTGCAATGCTAAGATTGCATCTGTTTCAAAAAATGGCTTATTGCAAGTTTGACTTAAATCTAATCGATATAATCTTGGTGTTGCTGATGCTAGCTGCAAACAGGTAAGTAAATCATTAAATAATTAGGTAAAAACTAATTTTGTTATTAAACAATTAGGTAAAAACCAATTTTGTAATTAAACAATTAGGTAAAAACTAATTTTGTAATTAAACAATCAGGTAAAAACTAATTTCGTAATTAAATAATTAGGTAAAAACTAATTTTGTAATTAAATAATTAGGTAGAAACTAATTTTTTAATTAAATAATTAGGTGAAAACTAATTTCGTGACTATTATTTAATTTATTTCAAATCATTGAAATGATGTGTTATATTTAGAATAATCATTATAATATTTACGAATATATTTCAATTTATATCAAATATCACATGCTAATTAATAAACTAATACTAACTAAAATTATCAGGTAAAAAAAAATGAAATCTATTTAATTACTGCAAAATTAGTTAATAAACTAATACTAACTAAAATTATCAGGTAAAAAAAAATGAAATCTATTTAATTACTGCAAAATTAGTTAATAAACTAATACTAACTAAAATTATCAGGTAAAAAAATGAAATCTATTTAATTACTGCAAAATTAGTTAATAAACTAATACTAACTAAAATTATCAGGTAAAAAAATGAAATCTATTTAATTACTGCAAAATTAGTTAATAAACTAATACTAATTAAAATTATCAGGTAAAAAAATGAAATCTATTTAATTACTGCAAAATTAGTTAATAAACTAATACTAACTAAAATTATCAGGGAAAAAAAAAGTGAAATCTATTTAATTACTGCAAAATTAGTTAATAAATAAATGCTAACTAAAATTATCAGAGAAAAAAAAGTGAAATCTATTTAATTACTGCAAAATTATTTTATTCATATCACTGGCAATAATAATTTATAAATTAAAACTATTCGTTACCTGAATTAAACCGGTTAATGTGAGAACAATTGAACAATGACGAAATGATAGGTCACGTAAGCCAGGCATATAAAGATTGATAAATGAAAAAATTTTATCAAAAATTGCATCACAAACATTTTGTTTATTGAAATTGCTCCATTTACAATTGTAAAATATAGTTAAATAATCAGAAACAATGTCAAGATGATTTCGATAGCATAAATTATACTCAACAAGCCATTTGTGATACTTTGATACCTGTCAAATAATTTTAATTTAAAATTTAAAAAAACTTAACCTTTTTTGAAATTTGCTAAAGAATTATTTATGAATAAATATGAATAACAATAAAAATTCATTGTACAAAAACTTAAAAAAAGGAAAAAAAAGAACTAATTTGTAGCTAATTATCACTTTTTCTTTCTTTATTAATTATCACATTTTATTGTAGAAGAAAAAATTTTTTAAATTTAAAATATTTTAATTTGTTTCGAATTTTTTAGCTCATATGCATAAAAACGAAAACATTTTAAATAAAATCTATAAAAATTAATTAATTAATGTGAGAGAGATGAAAAAAGTAAAGTAATTTTAAAAGATTCAGAAGAAAGGAACGATGAAAATAACAAACTTGTCGTAATTGAAGTAACGAGAAGAAATCGCAATAATTTAAAATGATTAATTGAATTTCGGACGGTAAACAATTAATTGACATTGTATTTTAAAAATTGACAATCAGTTTCAGTTTAAAATTAACAGTTCACAATGATTGTTAGTTGAATGATAACTGCAATAAAGAAAAGGAAGGTTAAAATTAGAAGTAGTGATAAAAAAAAAATAATTAATTGCCGAATATTTACATTTTTTTTTCTTTCCAAAAAAAATTTGATTCAATTACGATATAATTTATAAAAAAATAAAAGAGCAAAAATCGAAATGAAAATATTATAAATGATTTCATTGAAATCATTTAGAATATAGCGCTAATTTAATTAAGGAAAAAAAGGAAATTAAGTTAATAATAAGTAAATTTTCAAATAGAGAAAAATATAAAATTAGAAATACTTATTTTTACAATCATTATAATATATGGAATTTTTACAAATAATAAATAATCTTAAAAATTATTCAATACAAAATATTTAATTGTCATTCATACAGTGAAGTGGCAATTAGAGTAATATTTATGATTAAACACAACCAAAATAAATTACGATAAGGTCAGGTCAATGATCATTTAAGGTCAAGTTTAGCTAAAACAATATTTAAAACAGATGTGACATGAGAATTCCATAAGAATTTAATATGAACTTTTGCTAGAAGTATATTTCTTGATAAAAAAAAACATCAGTTTTTACTCTTCTTGTCAATAAAACTTAAAAAAATTTTTATTCAAACTAAGGAAATTTGTAATTTAATTGCTACTATAGATTTAGAGTAATAAATATGAACAAAAAGTATAAAATTTTATGAAATTTAATATCTTTCTATCGTTAAAACATTCAAATTTAATTTTAAAATTAAGAACTTTCTCGCAAACTTTATTATTCATTTCATTAAGTGCAATATTTTATAAAATAAATTAATAATTTCTCTTTTTAGAAAAAACGAATATTTTTTTATGGTTTTAAAATTATAATTCAACCATTACAATTAAATATAAATACTTTTTTTTTCAAATTTATTTATGAACCATAAATACATAATGAATAAAATGTAAGCGAATAATATAAATATTAAAATAAAATTGTATCAAATTTATTTAATTTATAATTGAAATTTTAAAAAGTTGAAACTTATTTGTAATTATTTTTGTAAAAAAAAAAGCAAAAATAATGTTTAATTTGTAATTAAATTAAATTACTAAAAGCAAACAAAAAGAAAAACAAAAAATTAAATAGAAAATAGAAAAGTGATAATAAGATGTTAAGAAATAAATATATTTGTGATAAGAAAAAGTTAAAAGGAGAAAAAAAAAACAAGAAATAATTGTACTCTCTCTGCTAGTTTTCCAATTTTTTTTTTTTTTTTTTTTAACAAACAATCAATACGTTGATTGATATCAGTTGAGTTGATTGTGCTGTAAATGTTTATTTGAATGATAAATAATTTTCTTTTTTTCTTTTCTCATTCTTTTTTAATATTATTCACTTACTTACTTACTTATCTGTTTATTTACTTTGCTACTTGTCAATTATATTGTCGTATAATTTACTTACTTAAAAATTATATTGTGATCTAATTTACTTATTTACTTATCAACTATATTGTCATGTAATTAACTTATTTATCAATTATAATATCATGTAATTTACTTACTTACTTATCAATTATATTCTCATGTAATTTACTTACTTATTCATCAATTACATTGTCATATAATTTACTTACTTAAAACTATATTGTCATGTAATTTACTTACTTATTTATCAATTATATTGTCATGTTATTTACTTGTTTACTTATCGATTTACCTACTTACTTATCAATTATATTCTCATGTAATTTACTTACTTATTTATCAATTACATTGTCATATAATTTACTTACTCAAAACTATATTGTCATGTAATTTACTCACTTATTCACCAATTATATTGTCATGTTATTTACTTGTCTACTTATCGATTTACTTACTTTCTTATCAGTTATATTGTCATGTAATTTACTTATTTATTTGCTTACTTATCAATCAAATTGTCATATAAATTCTTAGCATTTAGCAATTACTTTCCAAGTGCCATATAATTTACTTACCTACTTATCTATTCATTTCCTTACTTACTTATCAATTAAATTATCATATAATTTCTTAGCATTTAACAATTACTTTGCAAATGCCATGTAATTTAAAGAAAATTAACAACAGAAAGAGGAAAGGAAAAAAAAAGAAAGAAAAGTTGGTGGAAAAGTTTGTCAAATTGTTTACTTTTAGTATTATTTAAGAAATAAAATACTTTCTGTTATTTGATCATTTTCTTTAACTATTTTGCAATGAATGATTCATTTTTTTGTTTTTATATTTATTTTTCACTCTTTTTTTTTTGAGAAATAGTTTAATAATTTTCTGATAAATATCAAATTCTAAGTGATAATATCAAACAATGAGCATAGAAAAGTTTTATTATTAATATACAACAATTATCTTTCAAAAATATTTAAATTCAATATTTGAATTTCATTTTTGATTTACTTTTTTTTTTGTTACCTATATAATTTGAATGTGACTAATAAAACTATTAAAATGAGAAATGAAAAAAAAATAAAGTTTAATTCAACCTATTATTATCAATCAGTTTCATAGAAAATGTAATTTGAAGAAAAAAAAAATTGCAGAAAAGAACCTTTTAAAATTATTCATAGTTATACATAAAAAGAGGGAGAGAGGAATGAAGAGAGAGAGAGAGAGAGAGAGAGGGGGAGAAGGAGAAAGAAAAAGAAATAATTAAAAGTTTTAGGAAAAAAAAAAGAGCGAAACAGCTGTACTTACTTAGTATTTATTTCATTGTTAAATTGATTAAATTCAATTACTCGTTGCATTTCAATTTCATTAATACTTTCACATTTTTATTTAATTAACCTATTCTATTCATATGAAAAATACTATGCAAATTCCTTTTATTTGTCATTCAAATCATTGAAAATTGATGTAAAATTTCCATAAAAAAAAAGGAGCAGAGAAATCGATAGATAAAATGAAATGACGAAGAAATGAAAATGTACTATCATTCAGAGAATGTCGAGAGTCGAGAATCAAGAATAGAGAGAATGACATTTGTCACACTTTTCAATTTCTTCTTCCATTACAAATCATTAATTTCGTTTATTATAAAACAATGAGATTTACTTATGTTACACAATTACGAAAAATTTTTCATTTTAGTTTCGTTTTTTTTTTTTTTTTTTTTGGAAATTTTAAAATTTTTGACTTAGTAATTAGAATAATTATTAACAATTGCACTTTAATATATTTAATTGTTAATTTTTATCATCATTTTATAGAATTAAATTTTTAAAAAAATTATAATTAATAAAAGATTGAAGAAATTTGAAAAAAAAAATGTAAAGAAATAGTTGAAATATTGAAGTGAATAATTTTTTAATAAAAAAGAAACGAGAAATTTCTTTGTTATAATCATCGATTGTTTTGTTTGATCTTTCGTTGTCATTAATTAAGTAACATTTTGCGCAAAAAATTTGCAAAAATCTATGAATTATAATAGGCGCAAATTGATATTTACTTATTTTAGTTAATTAAAATAAGTTTAAAAAATAATAAATCGAGAAATTTATGTATTAGTTAAGTTTATAAGTTAAAAATTTCTAGCTTAAATTCTATACTAGTAAACAAATTTTAACTATGTAAATATCATTGCATTAAAATAATTAACTGTGAAAGAAATTTTAATAAAAAAAAAAAGTTGAAGAACTCAAATTACTTCAATTAATTTTTGTTCTCGAGCAAATATAAATTAAATTTAAAAATATTAAATGAAATTTTAACCAGTAAAGGTATTCCAAAAATTACTGTCAAAATCAAATGTAACATTGATTTTTCCCAATTTAAAGTAATTTTTTTTTTTGGATGATTTTGGAGATAATTGCTTACTTATAATTAGAGATAATTTTAATTAGAAATAGTTTTAATCAAAAATAATTTACTTAGAAATATAAGATATTTTAATTAGAAATTAATTCGAAATAGGAGATAATTTTAATTGGAAATAAGAAATAATTTTAATTTGAAATAATTGATTAGTGATAATTTTTTTTAGAGACAATTACTTTTTTTTGATATTTATTAGATTAATTAGCATTATTTTTGAATGGAAACACCGATGCTTTGATGTCTTTATGAGTTGAAAGTTTTAAAATTTTAATTTGACCGATCTGTGATCCAATGAAATTTTTTTTTTTGCCCTTTTATGGAAGCCAACATTTTATGGCAAAGAATGTTTAAAGTCTAAAATATTCTTCTATTATCATTTTGTTATTTATTTGTTTTCATTTTCGTCTTTGATGTTATAATTGTAAACATTGTAAACATAATTGTAAACAAATTATGTATCAGTGGCTGCTTTAGCTAAGAATAAATATATTTTTAATATAAAATTTGATTAGCATAATATGAAATATGTTGACAATTAACAAAATAAACATAAAAATTATTATCTTCATCAAGTATTACTTAAAAAAAAACAAAAGAAAATTCTAATTATCTAATAATTATTGAAACAATTGATAACAATGACAAGAAAATTTAACAATGATTGAATTGAATTCAAAATTAATTTTCATTATGTTAATCAAATGATTACACTGTTTGAAATTTATTATCATATAATGATCAATAAAAAGATAAATTTGATAAGGAACATAAAAACATATGTTGAATTTATCAGCAGCTATAAGCAGTCTTATCACATACGGAAGATTAATTCAGAATTGATACTGATAATTCTTTTCCGGTTCATCTTCTCGACATACACTATATCGAATCTCAGTACATGCTGCTGATCGTTCCGAATAACAAATGGGAAAGTGTATTCCGTCTCCTACATGAGAATCTACCGGAAATGCCCATAAACCCCAACCGAATACAGCCCGTAAATTACGATATATTCCCATATTATAATCAGCATTTGAATCCCCGCTGAAATATTTATTCAATTCTAATTTTAATTTATAAATTTTAAGCTAAGTTGAAATTTTTCATCTGACGGATAATGAGTTTATCATAAAATTTATATTTTCGGAAAATAAATTCAGGAAAAAGAAATGAAAAAAAAAAGCCAAAATTGAAATAATCACTGACTTCTAAGTATTACTAAAAGATCAGAAATTTTTTGATTCATTTTTTGTAATTATCAAAAAATTGTGAACCCTTTTCATAACATTTTTAAATTTTTTGGTCTTTTTCTCATGATTTCCTTATAAACTATTTCTTACAAAATTATTTTTTAAATTTAAATTTCTGCTTATTACCGCTAAGAATAAAAATTTGTATTTTGCAAAAAAAAAATAAGTTAAAATTGAATTAATGAACGTATATGCTACAGATAAAATAATATAATTTATAATTTTCATTTAAAATTTAATTAATTGTTGGTAATTCTGATGCAAAATACTAATTCTTACCAAATTATTTTTTTTAAATTTAAATTTTTTTGCTTATTACTGCAAGGAATAAAATTTGTAAAATAAAAATTTTACACTTTATTTTCAACTTTTTTAACTAAAATATCAAAATTTTGATAATTTTGAGGAATGAAATTTGAAATAGATTATAAAATTACCGAATATTTGGTGGTTTTGCTTGCTCGCAGGTGGTTTCATTAAGTGTTGCAAGTCGTATATGATAAATTAAAAGCTCACCAAGTGGATAATAACCAAAAATAGCAAATAAAATGACACATAAAAGAACACAAATAAAATTAACAATTTGTTCGGTCCATTGTTGTCGTATAAAATAACGAATAATACATTCTATACTTGTTAACAAAGCCCTAAAAAAGAGAAACAAAATTTTCCTTTCAATTTAAATTTTTATACAAAAAAAAATTTTTGCAATTTGTTAAAACAAAAGTATTAATTTCAATACACAAATCCAAAAATTAAAAATGAAAGCAAAAGCAAAAAGAAAAAATATATTAGTAATTAATTGATGATTCATTTCTTCGTAGAAAACTTTTAAAATATTACATTTTTTTTAATTTAAAATATTGCATTTGTAATTAAAATAATTTAAAATGCTACATTTGCAATTTAAGATATTACATTTTTAATTTGAATTATTTACTGCATTTGTAATTGAAAAAATTTAAAATACTATATTTGCAATTTAAAATATTGCATTTTTAATTTAGAATATTGCGTTTGTAATAAAAATAATTTAAAATACTACATTTGCAATTTAAAATATAACATTTTTAATTTGAATTATTACATTTTTAGTTTGAATTATTTACTGCATTTGTAATTAAAATAATTTAAAATAATACATTTGCAATTTAAAATATTAACATTTTTAATTTAAAATATTGCATTTGTAATTAAAATAATTTAAAATACTACATTTGTAGTTAAAATATTGCGTTTCTAATTTAATATATTGCAATTGTTTTAAAAAAAAGCTTTAAATGTTACATTTACAATTTCGAATATTATAGTTTTAATCTAAAAAATTGTATTTGTAATTCAAATAATTTAAAATGTTACATTTATAATTAAAATATTACATTTTTAAATTTAAAAATATCACTCATCTATCAATATATCATATTACTTTCAAAACTTTTTTTTTTTACTTTTTTTTTTTGTAGTACAAAAAAATATTGAAATAATTAATAATAAATTTAAAAAAAGAGAAATGACAAACCAAGCTAACAAAATACAACTGTAAATAAGATAAAGCATAAAATATTTGTAATTATTAAATGAGACACATTTATTAATCCATGGACAATGATGATCATACTTGACCACACAGTAACCACAAGATGAGCAATGATGACATCGATCAGGTTTGATAAGTGAACATTGATAACAGTATCTTTGAAAATTAAAAAAAAATTCAAAAAATTCAAAAATAAAATTTTGCATTCTTTCTTTTCCTTTTTTTTTTTCATCTTCCAACACTCTAGTTTTAACATATTTTATAAAATTTGTGAAATTTTTAAAAAGTTTTTTTTTTTTTTGCAAAAATTTTAAAATTTAAACATATCATTGAAATCATTTATTAATAATAATAATTATTACAGAAAAAAAATTATACGCTCTAATAATTCAATAATTTTCATCATTTGTCATATAATTTTAAAATATTTTCAAAAAACCATTTTTTTTTAACTTTTTTAAAATAAAGAAAAAAAAAGCCAATGAATAGGTAACAATAATTTTTAATCATTTTTTTTTACAAAAATTTTTTTGTATTACTTTTGATTATACATATATTTTAATTACTTTGTTAATAATGAAATTTTTTCAAATTTCAAATATTTAAAGTTTGTTTGTTTTTTTTTGTTTACTTTTTTAAAAAGTAAACAAAAAAAGAAATGAAAAAATACCTTAAACGATTGTAATTGTCCACCTCAACAAAACGTAATCCTTTATTTTCAGCAAAATTATTCAGTATATCAGATTGATTTTGCATCTGTTCTTTGGTTGATGTATCCGGAAGATATCGATCCTCTTTGAATGGTGTCACTGCTTTTATCTTATCATCTGTCTCCTTATCAGTCTTAATGTATTCATTTCAAAGACTAATTCAATTAAATGAATTATTTTATAAAAATTGAACAAAAAGTTTTTGCTTTTTTAATTAAAAAGAAAAATATACATTTAAAAATGTGAAATTGTCAATAATTTATTAATTAAAATTTTATCCTTTCAAAAGGACTAATTCAGTTAAATGAATTATTTTATAAAAATTGAACAAAAAGTTTTTGCTTTTTAATTAAAAAGAAAATATACATTTAAAAATGCAAAATTGTCAATAATTTATTAATTAAAATTTTATCCTTTCAAAAGGACTAATTCAATTAAATGAATTATTTTATAAAAATTGAACAAAAAGTTTTTGCTTTTTAATTAAAAAGAAAAATATACATTTAAAAATGTGAAATTGTCAATAATTTATTAATTAAAATTTTATCCTTTCAAAAGGACTAATTCAGTTAAATGAATTATTTTATAAAAATTGAACAAAAAGTTTTTGCTTTTTTAATTAAAAAGAAAAATATACATTTAAAAATGTGAAATTGTCAATAATTTATTAATTAAAATTTTATCCTTTCAAAAGGACTAATTCAGTTAAATGAATTATTTTATAAAAATTGAACAAAAAGTTTTTGCTTTTTTAATTAAAAAGAAAATTATACATTTAAAAATGTGAAATTGTCAATAATTTATTAATTATAATTTTATCCTTTTCAAAATGCAGAAAAAAAAACGAAAAAAGAGTTTTGCAATTTTTTGTTTTTTTTATAATTTGTAATTTTTATAAAAATAATTATAATTTGTAATTTTTTTTCAAAACTAGTAATTAAAATTTAAACTATTACAGATGTTAGATAAATTATCAAATTAAAAAAACTCTTTTTTTCCCAATCAAATTGAATTTAATTTTTTTTTAATTTAATATAAAATTATGTAATTAAGAGAGACATAAAAAATTTTTTTAAATTAATTCCATTAATAATATGAGTACATACAAAGTACTGAATAGGTACTCGAGCAGTTGGTGTGACAATTGACATTACAAGAGACCAAAGCATCATAAAGAGAATTACATTGAAAACAATTAAATAAATTGTAATTTGAATTCGATTTGTTAAGAATTGAAAACAGGTAATCCAGGTATACACATAGTATCTGAAATAATTATTTCAATTCAAATTTAATTTAAACTCAATTTTTGAATAATTTTAACAGAAAAAAAAAAAAATTTCAAAAATTTTTTTCAGTCATTTATTAGTCTCTCTCTCTCTCTCTTCTTTCTCTCTCCCTCTGTTGCAATAAATACATTCTTTTTCTATAGTAAATATTTTAATTAGAATTAAAAAATTATTATGTATAATCTTATGAATTCAAGTATTTTTAATTTTAAAAAATTTTTTGAGAAAAATTTAAACAAAAAAAAATGAGTTAAAAAAATTATTACAAAAGCATTTTATTTTGTTTTTCTAAATTAGTTTAAGAAAAAATTAGTTTCATTTCAATTTCATTTTTTAATTCATTCAAAATTTCTAAACAAATTTCATTTATCCAAATGATTTTTTTTTTTTTAAATTTCTTTTTTTTTATTTATTTTTTTTGTTTGAAAGAAAAATTATACGAATAAATGAAAATGAGAAGTTGCATGAGAAGAAGCGCATTTAGAGCTAAATTTAAAAAAAATCCTCGAAATGGATGCTTTTTACGATAGTTTCGCACAAACACATAAATTTTAGAGTACCACGACATCACTAAAATCTAAAAATAAACTTTTTAAAATTTATTTTTTGCAAACAAATTTTTAAAATATAAAAATAAAACGAAATTACTTTTCTTATTTAGCAAAATCAAAGCTATTTAAAACAAATAAATAAAATAAACTTTTTTTTTTGTTGTACACAAAAAATTTTAATTATAAACTATAAAAAATAAAAAATAAAAATTGAATAAAATATTAAAAATTTGATAAAAAAAAAAAAAAAAAGATTAGAAGTAAACATTTGTTTCTGATGATGGAGCAAAATTAAACACACTGTCAAAAATGATAACTGACTAAACAATGAACTTTGAAATTCATAAAATTTTATTTTTAAAAAAATAATTTTTAAATTCAAATCAATCATGCAAATTTGTTTACAATCATTTGCAAATGAATTTAGATGATGAGCTGCTAAACGTTTCAGAAGTTTTGTGATTGTTAAAATGCTTAAAAATTAAAATTAAAAAAAAAAATTTTAAATCTAATAAAGAGATTTGTTAAAAATTGTTGTAATCAACAACAGTAAATTATGATAATTTATTAGTTAAACTTTGATTTACATAATTTTTTGTTAAAATATTCATTCACAATTTATTAAAGCATTTAATGATAATTTAATTATACTAAATTTATTTAATACTTCAATTAATAATAACACTGTAATAAGACAATTACAACAATTATAAAATTAAAATTATAGAAATCTTAATTTTTAGAATACAATAATAAAAGCAGTAATTTAATTATGCTAAATTATTCATTAGAATATGTTTATTTCATTTCATTGTAATTATTTATTTTAAATTCTTTTATTATTATTATTAATTGATTTTAGGATAAGATATATATATATTTTCCATTTTTTTTTCATTTCATATACGATTGCACCTAAAATTTTCTGCAATATAGTTTTGCCAAATAGTTAATTAAAACTTTTGAAAAAAAGAATTTAATCAGTTAATTTGATAACTTATCCTAAAATCAATTAATCAACTAATTTTAGGATAACATTATTAACTAAATAAAAATTATTTGAAAAATTTACCTAAATTCCATAAATGATAAATTTGTCATTTATTTCATCAAATTTAATAAATAACTGTTAGTAGCAGAATAAAACAAAGTATCATTTATCGATGAAAAAGTTTTTATTCATAAAATCATTTGTTCATTTTATAGTTATTTTAAAAAAGAAATAAATGAATTGTTTATAATTAATATAATTTTTTTCTTTTTAAATTAAAATTCTATCAATTTTAAAACTTTTATCAAATCATACAGCAAAACATTTATCACCAACATTTTTCATAGCAATTAAAATTAAAATTCAATATTGAGTAAGTCTTTTCGTGATAGTTTACCATTTGGTGTTTTTGGTAATTCAGGTACTATTTGTATGCCACCACGTAGTTGCTTATATGGTGCTACTCGATCTGTAATAGCAAAATTTTAATTTTAAATTAAATAAAAATTAATTAATGATTGAAATTAATTAAAAAAAATAAAACTTCTCGACATTAAATATTAACAATTTCTGTATTTTAGATTAACTAAATAAGATAAAATTGATAATAATATAAGATAAAATTGATAATAATGCGTGATAATAATATACAAAGAATAAATATTTTAATGTTTAAGGTAAAATAAAATTTTAAGTAAAATAAAGTTGATAAAAAAAATAAAATTCAATCGAATACTAAAAATTCTATAAATTTTGTATAAATTAACTAGTAATAACAAAATTTTATTTTTAGATTAAATGAAAGCTAATTGATTAATTAAAAAAATAAATTGAAATTGATTAATTAAAATAAATAAACTTGTGGGAAATCTCGACATTAAATATCAACAATTTCTGCATTTTAGGTAAACTAAATACGATAAAATTGTGTGATAATCATATATAAAGATTAAATATTCTAATGTTTAAGGTAGAATAAAATTTTAAGTAAAATAAAGTTGAAAAAAAAGAAAACAAAATTTAATCGATTGCTAAAAAATCTATAAATTTTGTAAAAATTAACTAAAATTTTTGAATGCAATCGGATATGTAGCAAAAAAAAAAAAAAAAAGAGAAAGGCAAAAAATTAAACCAAATTTTAATTTTGTTGTATATTACAAAAATAAAATTAAATTTCATCATTTCTTCTCTATAAATTTGATATTAAAAATTTTAATTTTAAATTTAAAAAAAAAAATTTCGAACCATTTACGTATTTGATAAGATCAGCAGATTGAAAGTTTGCTATTTCATCGTTCATTAGCACAACAAATGCTTTTGGAATCTGATAAATGTAAATGAATTAATTCATTTATGATTAAATTACATTTTTAAAACTTTTTTATAATCTAATATTTATATTAAATTTTTATATTAATTTATATTAAATATTTACTAAAATAATAGCAAAATAAATATATATTGAAATTTGCATTGAAATTTCAACTGTTATTCATTTTTTTTCTTTTATCTTCAATTCAAATTTAAAACATTTTAAAGTTTTATTTTTGCCTTGAAAAAAAAAATGTGTTTTGCATCTTTAAACTAAATAAATCAAAATTAAATTTTTAACAGGAATACCAAAACAGAAATACCTGTACATACCTGTCCATGATCCTTATCCGGTATACCTACAATAGCTGCATCACGGACACACTTGTGACATTTTAAAATATCCTCCTAAAAAACAATTTATGATTCTTTTTTTTTTTAATTTTATTAAAACATAATATTAAAATTCAAAAAAAAAAATATTATTTAAAAATAGATGAAAATAAAAATTGTAAACAAAATAGAACGAACCAATTCAGTTGGTGACACTTGCATACCATTCACCTTAATTAAATCTTTCTTTCGATCAACAACAAAATAAAAATTGTTTGAATCAAAATACATTATATCACCTAAAATACATTGCAAAATTTTATTAGCATTTAAAAAAAAAACAAAAAATTCAAATCTACTAAATTTTCGAAATTAAAATATAAACAAAATTAATGCTTTATCATTTAATTTAATTTAATTTAGTTTAATCTAATACATTTATGAAATGTTCAATTAGTCGCTTATAATAATGCTTGCATTTTATTTCCAGTACTTCAAATTTTATTTCTTACTTATTCAATTTCAATTAATTAAAATTAATTCAAATCAAAAGTTTATAAAAGAAAAAAATCAATTGAATTAATTCAAATCAAAACTTTATAAAAGAAAAAAAATCAATTGAATTAATTCAAATCAAAGATTTATAAAAGAAAGAATTGAATTACCTGTATGCAACCACCTGTTGCTATCAATAACTTTTTTGGTTTCTTCAATATCATTCAGGTAACCTTTCATGATTGCTTCTGATCGTAGCAAAAGTTCACCACATTTCCATGGTTCATTTTGCACTGCACCACTTTCTTCATCAATTAACTGTAATTAAAATTCAAATAATTTCCTAGCTTACAAATTTGTTGTTAAATTATGAATAAATAATTTAATAACTTTAATAATTAAGTTTTAATCAACATCTGATTAACAAAATTAATTAAATTTTAATTTGTGACAGTTTTAATTCATTGAAAATTATCCTAATTATTAAAGTTAAAAAATATCTTAATTATTTCCTAATCATTGAAAAATATCTTAATTATTAAAGTTAAAAAATATCTTAATTATTTCTTAATCATTGAAAAATATCTTAATTATTAAAGTTAAAAAATATCTTAATCATTCCTTAATCATTGAAAAATATCTTAATTATTAAAGTAAAAAATATTTTAATTATTTCTTAATCATTGAAAAATATCTTAATTATTAAAGTTAAAAAATATCTTAATTATTTCTTAATCATTGAAAAATATCTTAATATTATTAACACACACAAACAATCCGTTACCATAGCTTCAAAACCGGGTAATAGTTTCCCGCAACTTCCCAAATAACTATCATCATCGTTTGGCATATTTAGTGGTGTTATATGACTTAGAACTACTACCTCTGTCATACCATAACCTGAAAATAAAATGTAATAATTTTCAAGCAAAAATAAAAAACACTGATAAAAATGATCAAGAATTATGATAAAAATGATAATATTAACCAATGTAATTTGTGATATGTATGATAATTTTAGTTAAAATTAATTAATTATCATTTATAATTGTCAGTTTTAATTGTAGATGATTATTATGTATTGATAAGATTGATAAGATCGATCGATAAGATTGATAAGATTAAAACTAAAAATGAAAAACGAATTTAATTCCATTTCTTTTTTTCCCTCTTTTTCATTTTATAACTAATTTCTAGTTATATTTTTTGCTAAAATAATCTAAGAAAGCGATTATTTGAAATGGGAAAAAAAGTTTTTTTTATTTTCTTTGAAAGTCATTGCAATCCGTTTAAATTCCGGAATAGGCATCCAGAAATAAAATACCTTGAATTAGATTAATTACATGAGGGAATTTATGCAGAAAACGTTTGCTTAGCTCTTTACCCAGCGGAGCACTACCACATAAAACAGTTTTTAATGATGATAAATTCCAACGATTAATTTGAATTTCATCTTGACAAAGATTTTCCAGTATTGCTGGTACCAAATTTAATGTATCAATCTAAAATATAATTAATCAAATAATTAATTTCAAAAAATTGAAAAAAAAAATGAAAAAAAATGGATTATTTTGAAATGCTAATAAATGTACTTTTAGTAAAGAGTAAAAGTTAATTTACTTAAAAAATTAGGTATAAAAAAAAAAGGAAGTAATCAAGAAAAAAAGTTAATTTATTGAATTTCAATTTCAAATATTTAAGTTGAAAAAATAGCTGATTCTATTCAATAAAATTTATGAAAACTTTTGAAAATTTAATTTTGGAATAAAGTTACTTTAAAAAAAAAAACTTAAGTATTACTTTATATTTTTCAATACAATTTAGCAGTACAGCCGGATGAAAATGTTCCATTATAATTGTTTGATGTCCTTCCAGTAGACAATAACA